TATACAGTTAGCAGTAGAAAGAATACATTTTACATCAGTAAATAATATAGATTTTACCCGTGAAGGTTTTTTTATTAGTATAAAATAGAACGGTATGGATTCGATTAGATTTTCATTACAATCATACCGACACACTCTTATGATTATTATGTTCAACTTCAGTATTATAAACACAGTAACGTTTTTTCCCTATCTGTATGATACAGCAAATAAATATTTGCTCTATATTAAGATTCACGACATTTGACTTTAGTGCATTTGTAATAAACTATTCTCCCATTTTCTGTATAGTTTGTATAATTTTTTGACCATTCATACTTCTGCTTTGTCAACATTATCCAATCTAGTCTCTGTAACTCAATATTTTAATTTCTTTTTTTTTGGCCAAGTGTTTTGTTTCCATTTCATAATTTCTGTACTTACCCATTGATTTAATTGACAGCTAGTCAATTTTATTTACTGATTTTATAATTATTTAATGTATTGATCAAATGTTGTATTTCGTTAATAGAAATGTATAAGATCAGTTCTTTGTTCTAATCTTTTTCGTTTATTTTTAATTTTTAAATTTAAAAACAAAATTCTATTCAATTTTGTCTTAAATTTTAACTTTGCATGACACATATTCATACATTCATATCATTAAATCATCGACAGAATACCTTTTTAAAAGTTATTCAGAGCCGGAAATTGCAGATAGAGAATTCTTATTACAGGCACTCAAAATATTGATAACTTTTTCTAAATTGTACATTGTGATTAATCTTCTTAATTAACTTTCAATAAGTAACTATTAATAATAATCATACGAATATAAACCAACGTAATAAATCATTCAATAATACTAGAAATTTTTATTTGTTTTTAATTGTATGACATTTTCATTGAAAGAATAAAATCAAAATTCAAATTAATGTTTATTTCTATTTCGTATGAAAAAAAAAAATATTATATGTAAACAAAAATATATGTAGAACACATATAATTGAATTGTAATACATGTAATAAATATATTTACTAAAAAATTGGAAGACAATTCCCAATTAATTTGAATTATTATTAATAAAAGAAAATTTGTGAAATAATTGAAATTAAAATAATCTGAATAATAAATGATATATTATTTGCACTATTAACTGTTTCATTTATCCATGATTGATAAGCTGCAACTCGTGTATAAATACCAGGATATAGAGCTCTTGCGCATCCAATACCAGTCGAAGTTATTCCGACTTGTTCCCAAACATTATCGGAAATAAACATTAATATTGGACCCCCACTATCACCTTGACATGTATCTAAAAGAAAAGAAATTATCATACGATGTATATATATATAAAATTTATAAAAACTTACCCTTATTACCACCAGGCATTATTCCAGCACAAAATTGTTTAGATGCATCAGCAAGTTTTACATTTTTACAATAGGTACTAGTTGCAGCTACTGATTTAATTGTTACTTGCTGAAGTATAGAAGACACTATACCACTTCCTTCTGATGTATAACCCCAACCAATAGCAATAAGCTACAAATAAGAAGTCAATTTTAGCTAATAATAAAAAAAAATCTGATTCATATTTTTAACATTACATCAGTATTAACTGGTGGATATTCTGTACTAGCAAGTATGCTCGATGATACATTAGGTAAACAAATAATATCAACACCATTTTGATCAAGATTTAATTCAGATGATAATTTAATTATAGAAATATCATTGATAAAATTAACTGACGAATAATTTGGATGAATATATATTTTTGAAACACTACGTATTTGAACTCTTTCTGATAAATATATTGATCCAACATAGACTAAAACTGAAGCAGGAGATGATGATAATTGTATAGTACAATGAGCAGCAGTAAGAATATGTAAATTAGTTATAATTGAACCACCACAAAAATGTGAACCACTAGATGTATAACGAAGAGATGCAGCCCATCCCCATGTTTGACTTGAAGCTGATTCTCCTCCAACAATTTTTGTTAAAATAGCTGAATTAGTTGAACATCCACATGAACTTGTTGATGAACAACTATATATTGTTTGATTTGATACATGTATTAAAATAATTTCAAAGAAAAAAATGATGTATGCTTTATGTCGTCTAGTCATCACACAAACGCACAGTTTAAAAAAAAAATACAACAATTATTGAGATGAAATAAACAGAAAAGAAAAAAAACGCATGAAAGAATATAAAAAATAGAAATGTTGTTATGTCAACGTGCTGTTGCTCAACGTTATGTTTTTGCGTCTTCTATTTTCTAGCATTACTCATTTACTTTTTTTCTTTTGCCTATTTTCCATTTATTACAAACAAAAAAAAAAAAAAAAAGAAAGAAAAGATGTATACCAATAGAAAAGCAGGGAAAAGAGATTAAACGTTAATGAAAATTAAAAAGAAAACAACTTGAAACTTTTTTGGTTTATTCATAATATTTTTGTTCTAAACAATACAAACAAAAAAAAAGAACTATAGATGAGGTTTCTTTTATTTATATAACTTCATCATGGTTGGCAAAGCAGCAAAAAAAAATGTCAACATTATTTTAATCTAATGGTATCGGATGTATTCATGAAAAAAATTTTCTCTCGTATTCATTCAAGTAATTACAATAGTAGATGATGATTAAATAAACTCATTTATTGTCTTAATGTTAACTCTCTTCGAAATTTATTTAAAAGTACAAGATATTGGTTTATGTGAAAGAATTGCTGTACCATCGGCAAGAGTATATAATTAATTCTACAAAATTATTATAATAGAATTTAACTTCCTTGTCAAGTTAGATCTTTTAATAAGTCATTAAAAGAAAAAATAAGATATCTTTGGTATTTCAAGGAAATTTACAATAAAAAAAGAGAATAAAATAAGATGTTTAATAAATAAATTCCTTAGAAATACAAAATCAATATTTGAATTAGATAAGTTTGTATGCATAGGGAAAGATTATTTCTATTATGATAATTTCATTTTATTTACTGATCAAATCAGGTAAATATTTAATATATTTTATTTTAATAAATTATATTGTTGATGTCATATACATAAAATAATCTTTCATTTAATTTGTATTGTAATTCTGTTATAAACAGAACTATTTTTTAGACATCGATCATGAATCAATTTTTTGATGATATAGATGAAAACAGTATTCATTCTTACTGATGTATTTAAGTTTTGTTCGATTTTAAAATTTGAAGCCTTCCAGTTATTATATATTTTTTGCATAGAAATTTTATTATACTTTGAAAATGATCAAATATATTCAAGTTTCATTTTTGATATATCTTGGAATATTCTACGAAATACGACCAATTATAAAATATATTTGTCATTGATGTGTATAGTTATATGATTGTGAATGTCAAAATTCGAAGAAAAAGTGTAAGTATACAAGAAGTGTTTTTTTCTAGTTTTGACTCTTTTTATAACTTCAATGTACAGATCATCAAAATACTTTTTGATCTAATCTTGTAGAATTTTTCAAGTTGTCTTTAATCATATAAAAATTCCAAGTTTGAATAAAACTGTCAACATCTGAAAAATCGCCCTAGACTAGAGGGTCTATAATAGTCCTTATATAATGACATTCATAATGACTCCATGAATACTGATCAAATCTTTGTGAAAGTAATGAATTTTTGACCTAATTATGAAACTATAATATAGAACAATGTATTAGAATATTATCATACACTGAAGTTCAATAGTTCTGATCTATAAATTCATTATTGTACAAAAAAATTATGATTTCTATAGACGTGAAAGTCAGTTAGAATTGTAGAACTCACAGGATTATCCCGAGCGGAGAGAGGGAGGGGGAGTGATCCGTCTCCTAGTATCATTTATTCAAATCTAAATATATAAGGAACTCATTCGATGCAATCCAAAATCGATAAGATCTTTTGAGGTATATCAGATTTATAGAAAATTTTACTTTTATTATTAGATACTCGTTAAATTATTCTCAGTTCTTTGTCATAGGAAGAACGTTACAGTTATTGAGTGCTTTTTGCAAACTACATGTGATTATTGTATCATAGATCTAAATGCTGACAGTGTAAATCTCATTTGTTTTTTTTTCTTCCGTAAAATATATTATTTTCTAATGTTTGGTGGAACTGCTCCTTGAATAAAAATGATTGCGCTAGTCCCATTCTATTCATATGAGTGAGAATCTATGCTACAGTTTAATGCAAAACTATTGCCTGATGTCTTTGATTATGTGATGATAGCTGCTATAGTTGTTATCGCCGCATATTGTCAATGTAAAATGTTTATAAAAGTCGTTATATGCATATAGATCTGAATTAAAATATACAAATATACTACGTTACGGAAATTTATTCGTATCAGTAAATCATAAGGTTTTTAAATGATTAAACGTTTTATGCTGTTCTTGTTCATAAAGTATTTGAAATTATCGTCGAATTCTGAATAAAACTTGCGGAATAGACTTATCGTTTCATTGAAATTTTCAAATGAATTGATCAAAGTCTTACTGAAAAAAAAACAGCATTTATTCTTCAACAGATATTTTTAATGAGAAGATAATATCTCAAGTATTTTAAAGTGATTTCTAACAAAATTTAGATTAGAGATAGCTATGGCATTGAATTTTTTGAATGAGAAGTTTGACAAAAATATTCATGACAATATGATTGAGATAAGCTGATCACAAGAAGAACATCATGTCTGAATTATAACACTTCAGAACATGTGAATTGATAGAGAACGAATTCGTGCTTACAATCAAAGTTTATTGTCTCACGCATGTTTTCATTAGTAAATATTAATAATATTTTTTAGTATTTGTATGAATTCATGAAGAACTTCAGGAGGATCAGAAATGGACAGAAAGCGACATTACACTATTAGTTTGTATTTGTATTTGTTAATTTTAGATAAACGATAAGACAATCTCTCTATATTAATTAGTTTTAATTCTAAAGAATAAAAAGAAAGAAATTAAAGTTATATTATTTAGTAAAACCAAGAAAAAAAAAGAACAATTTATCAACATTTCTCGACGTTTATGTTTTCGTAGATCATGATAATATGAATTCTATATAATGCAAAGAAGAAGTTTTAGTGTTCTTCAACATTTATGAGTTACCTTCAATTCACATATAATATTTAAATATATATATAGCAATAAAATTGATATTTTTCTTTGTTACATAGATTTTAATATTCTACTATTAATATCTTTTCATTACAGAACAAATATTGACAATATATAATAATTTTAGTAACAGGTAAAGTTAGTAGATGGGGTATGATTCGCGTATACCTAAAAACGATTGGAGAATCATTTTTACGCAATGAACATCATCAAAATATAAATATATACATACATACTCGATTAATCATCAAATAAAAAACAATATAAACATTCTTTTGTAATTTTCATGGCTTCTGCAAATCATCTTAATATTTTAGCATTTGGTGCATCATTAACTGAAGGTTTCTGTTCAGATGGTCGTCTATTTCATCCATATACTATTCGTCTTTCTCAACTTCTTCGTTCATTATGTAAAACAGTTGATATTAATAATGCTGGTTTAAGTGGTGAAGCAGTTTTAAGTGATACAATGTTACCAAGACTTAAACGATTATTATCATTAACAAAAATAAAATATGATTGGATATTTATTTTAGCTGGTACAAATGATACAATACGTGATCAACAAAAAGCTTCTAGAATTTTTGATGGTTATAAATTATTAATTAATGAATGTCATAATCATGGAGCACGAGTACTTTGTATGACTTTACCGGAAACATTCTATCCAAGAGAATCACCATTTGATAAACAACGACAAGAATTTAATCGATTATTACGAGAAGAATTAATATCAAAAGATAATGATAATAATAATAATATTATAGTTCTTGATCTTGATCGACTTTTACCACAACATTCACTTTCTAATGTTGAACGTCGACAGATTTGGGATGATGGAATACATTTAAAACCACAAGGTTATGATCGATTAGGAATTAATCTACGATATACTTAAGCCTTATCTATCATAGATTAGTTTTTTGTGTTTAATTGTTAAATCTAATATCATCTAAAGATATTTTTATATTCAATTAAAAATAGGCATAACAAAAGAAAACCTATAAAAAGAAATCATATGATTTTTTTTTTTACTTGTTTCTTTTCATTGTTTTTTATTCTATTAGAAAATTTGCATATATTTTTTTATGTGAAAAGAAGTTATTGTCTTTTTCTTTTCTTTTTTTTTTTTTTTTGTTTAAATCAAATATTTAACGTGCATTTTTTTGCTTGAAAAATCAAACATGCGAATATCGGAAATCTCATCAGGTACTTATCAAAGTCAAGTCAAACGTGTAAGCATTCAAACAATTTCTAATGTAGAAAAACATGAAACTCCATTTATATGGGTTAGTTAATTTATTTAGATAAAATTCATTATTTTTGATAATAAATCATTTATATATATATATATATATCCTAGTCAAAATTTAATCGACTAAGCAGTATGCAAAGTACAGTAACACCAGATATTGTTGATATACCAGAGAGAACTATTGAAAAAACATCAGTACCAGAATCATCAGAAAAGTAAATAAAAAAAAAAATTAATTTTCAGTAAAATTAATTTTATTTCATATTTTATTTTAGATCATTTATTTTTAATCGAAATCGTATAATTTTTATTACTATTGGTGTTCTATTTGCTCTTTCGACTTCTATTACTGCTGTTGCACTTGCTATTAAATTTCGTTCGTAAATAAATATATATATATGAAATACAATTGTAAATAAAAATCGACTGTAATTAACTTTAATTACAGAAAATAAATTATACTATTGGACGTTGAAAAAGTTTTGAAAACTATTATCTAATCCAAAATGAAAGACAGGTTACCATTTTTCGAATAATTTTTGATAGGAATAAGATAGAGAGCTGCGGTTTTTATTATTCGAAAGAATGATGTCCGGATCATTGATCGGTATAGAACTCATTAAGACGAAAGATGTGTTTTTTTATAGGTATTTTTGGATGTTACATTTTCACATAATTTGAATTGGGATTATTGTGAAAATTGATGAAAATACTCAAAGGAAAAAGTGTTGATCCAAAGGTATCTATTAAAAAAACCAATCGATGTCCCGGACATCGCTCTTTCGAATAATGAAAACCAAAACTCTCTATCTTGTTCCTATGAAAAGTTATTCAAAAAATACTCAGCTTTTTGTTTTTTGTTTTAAAATAGAATTAGTATAACTCTTACATTTTACAGAAAAACGATTCTTATCGTAGTTTTAGTATTACGATATTATTTCAATAGTGATCAATTAGTACAGAAAAATAGAGCGTTGTTTTCTCCATCATTACAGAAAAAAAAAAAGAAAATTTCTTCAAGCTTTCTATATGAAAATAAGATAATGATGGCACTACTTTTGGTATATCCTAAGTAACTCGAAAAGTTCATAACTCATGCTAGAAGCAACTTGTGTACAAACCAAATTAGGATATATCACTCCCAGCTATCCTCTACCTAACCATCATACTTCCAGCCGAAAAACTTTCTAGCATCTCGGATGGTTCCCTAGTTAGTTAAATATATTGCATTTAGGTAGATATTTAATCTATATATATATTAAAATAGTTGAATAACAGAAGCTTAGAGATGAAGTGAGACTAGCTGAATGTATCTGATAGAACATATCTTTAAATTCTCTCTTCTTTGAAAAATTTAATAACAAAAGTATTTATGTAGTTTGCAATATTTTGATGGATTTGATGCCACTGATGCCTCATGATAGTATTTGTTGAAAAGTTTCTTAACTAATCATTAAAAAAAAATTGAATTCTAAAGTAATGAATATTCTCAACAAACGAAAGAGGAGGTAAAGCTAAATAATTTAACTTTTAACATTGCATCTTGTATAATAAATGTGTCAACATTATCAATCATTATAATTCTTTGACAGTTTTGTGTGAAATATATAAATCAACTAGACCGGATTCAATAGAAACAAGAAATAAAATTGATGGAATACCAATAAAATCTAGTTCATCAGAAATATTTTATTAAATGGAACTATTAAATAACAGTATGATGAACTCACATTCGAACCAACTTGCCTGTTGAACAAGGAAACAAGGCTCTTCTACAGCTTCTTAAATATAATTTTAAAGACTTCAATCTATTTCTCAGTAGTTTAGCGCATATTAGTGCTAAAACTACACTATTTTCCTCGAACATCTAGAGATTGAATGAAAGTTATAGAATAATATAAAAAGTTCCGATTCAATACAGTCATACATAGGTAGGCAGCTGTAGATTCGGGTTCACTAACCTGTGGATTTGCAGCTCGTTACTTGCTTCACCTTGTTTGCACAAATACAACTAAAACTATTCCATAGAGGTAACGATTTTGATATTACTGTTAGTTTGAAAGATTTTAACTGTTCAATTTCCTTTGTTTTTTTTAAACATAATGCTCTTTTTAACTAAGCAAAAGCTTTTAATTTATTAAAGCATTCAAAGAACAACATTTCTAAGAATAGTCAATAAGTAATTAAAACTTTGATCTCTCATTTGTTTATATACACAAAGAATGCCTAATATTAATGGAAAAAAAACTCGGATATAAAACTGGTCAGATTCGAATCCACAAAATGTAGGCCCACAACTCCCTATACATAGGTATTGTAAATATATTTTCGAATACAATCGAAGCTCAGGTAACATTGAAAAACATTTCGGATGTTATTACAGTACTAATGAGTAAATACAAAGTGCATTTGAATTAGTTTCAAAAAATTTTTTTCAAATGTTTTTTAGGAATTTTTCAGACTTTTTTTTAGTATAAAATTATAACAAGAACAAAACATTTATTTCTAAATGTTTTTGTATATAAGAGTAAAAATGAATACTCGTTAGAAGAGTTCTTTATATATTATTTATCTTCATCAATCTTTTTTTTTTCTTATGATTTTATTATAACATAACTGTTCTTTTAAGTCACATTTGTATTGTAATATGATAATAAACTAATAAAAAAATTCAACATATTTTTTATAATAAAATTTTATTTGTCATCTATTCATATTGATTATTTGACTAGAAAGTTCTCATCATCGATCATTGCATCAAAGACAAAAGAACTGAATAAATACCTTTGTAAAACTATAGTTACCAATGTCATTCTCTGCAGATATACATAATGAAATTGTTGGCCTTATTATCATTTTTTGTTGTTATTACAACAAGATGTAATGCACTTTTGTGTTTTGATGCTAAAACAGCTATTGTCATACCATTAGATAACTTTTCTTTGAATGATTTTACGAAAATTATTAAAAATTTTAGTTCTACAAACGGACATGAAAAATGTCTTGTGGAAATTCAAATTAATTATGGACAAGAAATTTTGAATGTTTTATTTGGTAATATTGCTAATTCAAATAGTCTCACTACAAATTCACAAATTTATATTGATACTTATATAATATTGAATCAACCTGAAATACATATGGAATCGAATAATATTATGAACAATATTCGATTTATATGTAATACAAATGATTGTAATCGTCAATTTGTATTTGATCATCTTGAATGGTTATTAGAAGTAGAATATAATGATTTAGTATCTAATATTAGTCCATTATTGATAAGTAAAAATGAAAAAACAGGTAAGAAAACTATCATTTATTTATTTTTTTTTATTGAATTTTAAAACGAACTGAATCATTGTTAAATACAGAAATTTTAGTCTAAAAGTAAAAAATTTCTCCTAGCGATCTTGTGCATAATAGTTTTTCGATTTGTTTTTTTTTCATCAAACAATCCTACATATGTTTTCATCTACAAAATGAATCGATAATTTGAAAAATATAATTCTCATATATTTATTTTTTTTGTTAATCTATATAGATAAATGTATATTTGGTGAACAAAATCAAATTCAATTATGTCCAACTGGTATCTGTTATTTAGAATATTCAATGTCAACTGATCAAATAAGATATGAATGTGAAAATGATCCAGATATTCAACCTGCACTTCATATTCGTACTTATTTTACAATTCAAGAAGATCACAATCGAGAACAAATGGCTAAAATTAATTTTACAATTAATTATTGGTGTCAATTAGATGGTTGTAATAATAAAACAATTGCAACACAAATTATAACAATTATAGAAGAAAATTATAATTTATTTGAAATAAAAGATATTCTCGATCTTGCCTACATAGAATATTGGCTCGAAGAAGAAATAGATGAACACTCCGAAACAAACAAGAAATAATAACAATGTTCATGCCAACTCAAAAAAAATCAAGCAATGATACAAATTTGATTTATATAGCTATGAATTTGTGTTGTATTTAATGATTTTTTTGTCCTATTTTTCTAAAACTATATGATTAAATACATCATGGATGATTGAAAAGTGATTAAATAAAATGTCCATTCGTTTTTCATCTTTTTCAAGGATCTCGCAGAAATTTCAAAAAATTAATTATGATAGAGCCTTGCAATTTATTGATTTTATTGTAAAAAGTCGAATCTATTAATACGAAATAAGCGTAGAATATGTATTTTTTAAACTTAACAAATCATTAAAAAAAAATTTTATTTTAGAATGATTACATTTTTTTCTTGTTTTTAAACATTTTAAATCTATTCTTATAGTCATAAAAAAAAAAGAAGAAAAAACTATAGTAAAGCGAGGCGCTTCGGTTTATCTTGTTCGAAGCGATTTCAAGTTGAAAAATATCAGTTTATCCTTATGAAGTATGACTTAGGACAAAGAAAGAAAAAGCGAGACTTCAAGTACTTCCCTCGTACTTCATGTACTGAAATCTGGCTTTTCCTTCTTGCTTAGGACCTATTTGAAAAAAAATCAAAACAAAAAATCCTTGTCTAAGCGAAAGTTCGTCTTGTTCAAGTCAAACTAATCCCTGTCTAACTGGTATTTCTGCTCTTTAAGTAAAAAGTACCCTTGTCTAGACGAAATACTTATCTAAGACAGATGTTTCTGTTTTTTTCTCTAAATTGATTCTATTCTTGATGACCTTGAGAGAAGTCTCATCGCTTGCTTACTGAATGTTTTTTGTACTAAAAGATCATATCCATTTTATTAGATTTAGTGGAAGTGAAAAACTCAAAACAAGGTAAACATGAAATATACATAAAATAAACGATGATGTCCTTAACAAAATCTTATATTGTTCTTTTCTTATTTTTGTTCCTTCTTAACGCTAATGCTAAAGTTCTGAGTATGTGTATGGATGACAAGAAGCTACGCATTCATATTCCATAAAATCTCAAGATAGATGATGATGATGATATGTTTTATACTTCGATCACTTAGAGAAATTTCTATTCTTTCTACTTGTTCTAGGGAAAATCAGATAGAATTTACATCTCTGGTTCGTCATCTGATGGATTGATTATGGAAGGAAAGGGCTGAGAGAATTTTAGAACACGAAATGAACATCATATTTTACTTGTCTGAAATCGACTTGTTTTGGTATTCAAGCGACTAATTGTATTGGAAGTTTACTGAACATAATTGAAAAATGTTTTGTATGATTCCTTAAGAATACAACAGAAATTGATTGATTTGCATAGCATTCAACGTACTTTTGGTATTTGATGATGTAACTGAATGTTTTCTTTCTATTCACCACAATAAGTTGATGAAGAATAAAAAAATTAGTGTAAATCATTGTATAATTCACCAGCAAGACTATTTATTAGTATTGCTGAAGCAGATTCCTTTTCACGTTGTTTTATATTTTTCACAATAACGCGTTTCGTTTTCCATGTAAAAATATTTTCCAATATAATGAAGCTTTGTGACATGAAACTTCGTTAAAAATTTAACAATTTCACAAAAAAAAAGATGTCACCGTTTTGATTATAAAAACGCGTTAATAGTACGCAAAACAAACGTGTGTTTCATTGTTACAGAAAAGATTGTTTCACGACTTCTCACGTAATAATTTATCACAATACATATGAAAACATGTAACAAACGTAACCTAATATGCACAGTATTACTTAGAATTTTTCATACACTGTCATTGACCGTTCCTCAATGATCGATATTTTTCTAAGTTTCATTCATCTGAAGAGAAAAATTCAGCTAATAAGTACAATATCAGATGTACTTTCCAATAAGATGCTTAAGAAAAATTTTATTATCATTACGATTATTTTATAACAGATATTAAAAGCAATCAACAAATAGAATAGTTATTTTTTTATCAATATCTCAATATTTAAACGAGTTAAAGCTTTATTTTCTATTATTTTGCATCTTTATGTATGCTAGAAATCTGTATCATAGTATGGGAGAAATGATTAAGATATAACTATATGTATGTTCTCTCTCTATTCTATTGATAGTATGACGATGATGGTGAACAAAATTAACTTTTTTGAATTTTCTTCATTCGTTTCATTATCAATAATTTAAAGAGTATTTGTGATGCTACATACACATGTTTTTATAGTAAAAATAATCTGAAGAGATCAACATCATTCATGAAACGATACATAAAATAAATTGAACGATAGAACAAGAAATTACAAATACTAATTTAACTCAATAACATTTTTTCTATCAAGTTGTAATGTTTATTTACGTACAGTTAATTATATTCTTTTTGTTTTTGAATCATCTTATGAGTCAATCATGCGAATCAAATTAGAAGTCAAATTGAGAAATGAGTAATACAACGATTGAGGTCCATTAAACTAAATCAAAAGAAACTTGACGTACCTTATTGGTTGAGCCGTTCTTGAAAAACTCCGGAAAGAAGAAGGGAAAAGTGCTGTTACTCCATAATTGACTAGTTGTCATCTGTTAACCTTGTTTCAGAATTTTTCTCATATAAATATGAATTATATTTCAATTATGTGATCATAAGTACTTGTAAACAGAATAGATTCTCAAGATTTCTAATAATAATACAATCTACGTATTACTCGATTATAATGAGATAGATGTTTATTGTTTTCTGATGTGCATAAGATGTCCTAAGATTAATAGTACGAAGATCAATATTTCATCACAAATCATTCTTAAAATACGAGTCAGAATATTGTAATGGAGAACGTTAGTTTTTGAAAATATCTCTGGAATATCTTAGAATCAGAGATCGATCGAAATATAATTACTATCAGAAAATTTTATTTGGTTTTCTATAAAAGTTCTAGTACACTCGAAAAAATTCGTTACTATTCGTATCTCATCAGATTAATATTTCATATGTGTATAAATAGAATAAAAAAAAAAAGGATCTCTTAGATTCTATTCTATATTTGTAGGTAGTGATGAGATATGAATAATGACGAATTTTTTGCATGTACTGGAACTTTTACAGAAAATCAAATTATATTTGGATAGATCTGTGATCATAAGATATTTTTAAAACTAGCGCTTTGGTTCATATAAAACACGTTAAAATGTTTAATTTGTAAAAACAACTGTTAGATTTAACGCAAAATTAATCAGTTAACTTTCGTTAAAAATGAAAATATTCTTGAAAACGTGTTAATATATTATTTAATGATGGATAATAAAATAATTATCATTGAAAGTCAACTCATATAGGAAAATTCATTAAAAAGTTAATGTGTATTAACGATCATTCAGGATTTAACGAAACTTCGTAATATTTTTCTCGTGACAACCTGTTAAAATCCGAACGCAAATTTTAGCGTGGAATTCAGCAAAAATGCTGTTAAATTTCCTTTTATTTTTCATTGGGCAGTAACGAGCCATGAAATTTTAGAGCATCTGTTGAATATTCAGTACCTATACCTTTCACAATATATTTTTTTCTTTTCTCTTCATGTATTTTTGTAAGAGAAAGAACGTTGAGAATTGATACATTACACACAAACAGACTTTTGATATTTTGAATAAAAAAAAAAGAATTCGGTAAGAATCAGTCGTCATTTTTCTTCACTGTCATACAAAAACTTCCTTCAGTATTGATTTTCTTATAATAATTATCTATATTTAGTAAGATTGTATTGACAGATATCCATTATACTATCATTATCATTCAATTCATCAAACATATTAATATACAGGTAAATAAACATGGCACGTTGATTGTTGCTTCCAATGATGCGTAGAAAAAATAAATGATTGCCTTTTTATTTAACCATTTCATAACATTCGAAACTATGAAGTTATTCGTCTCTCTCATCTTGTTTCTCTGCACTTTTTCGTGCATTTTCTGTATTGTTTGCTATCAAGGAACATCGAATTCCTCGATTACGCCAACAACGACAATAAACTTGGACACCACAAATGACTGTGCGAACAATACATGTGTTTGCACGAGTTACGTATTTATTTGTATGGACAATAATACATCTTGTACATCAGATGAATTATTAACACAGGCGTGGAAGTGGTACTGGGGATTTACACAGAACTCGGCATGTCAACAGTTAATGGCCGCTCCCTCAACGTATATGAATGTAACATGTTGCGATGTGGATTTGTGTAATGGTCAAAGTTGGAATACGACACTACCACCAAATGATACAACTATCATAATCAATACTACTGATACAGTCAATATCACTACACAGGGTGCTTCAACTACCCAAGTCGATACGACTACACAGGGTGCTTCAATTATCCAAGTCGATACGACTACAGAGGGTGCTTCAACTACCCAAGTCGATACGACTACACAGGGTGCTTCA